ACAAGGGCTGCGGCCTCCTCGGCCTCCTACTCGCAGGTACCGGTCCTACGCGGTCCTGGACCAAAACCCGTGCGGTACTACCGGTCTTGCAGTTTCAAATAAGATGCCACCACCCCTTAAACTGCCATGCCTTGCTTTTCCAGCCTTCCAACGACCGTATAATGAACGGCGACGAAAAATGTTCTCAGAGGGGGTAATGAACGACGACGAAAAATGTTCTCAGGGGGGGAAAACGCAGCCCTGACGGGCTGCGAACAAGCCTTTGAACGACCAATGGGCCCGAATGAACGACCGGTATAACGAACGTCGACGAAAATGTATCAGGGAGGGAAAAACGCAACCCTGACGGGCTGCGAACAGCCTACGCAGTAGACTGCCGACAATGCCTCCCCCCCTCACTTCTTTTTGGGGTCCACTTCCACCCGAGGACCGGTCCTCCCTTTTTCCGAAAGTCCCGGTTCTAGAAGAGCTAGCTGCAGGTGGTCCGCAACATCTTGAAGGACCGGTCCCCCAAATTTCTCCGCCCCCTTAAGAACCCACTTGCACCCTGGTCGCCCGCCTCCAAAAATGTGACACCTTGCCACAGACCCCGAAGCCCACTATATCCCAGCCTTAGGGCTGCGAATTGGAGCAGGCGAAAAGGCCCAAGGGCATACCTTAGCCGTCTAGAAACGAAAACTAATGTGCGCGTGTGCGCATTTTCGGATAAGGAGAGAAGAACGAAAAGAAAAATCGCCGAACTTGTGACGGCTGAAAAGTAGGCGGCGTGGGCTGCCGCGTGGCGTCTGACGTGGCAGATAGAAGGGGAGCCGGGGTTCGGGAGACATGGCTTCTGCCACGTGGTTAGTTCAAAGCCCGGTAACGCAACTTGCCCTGCAAAACGACGCCTGGCACGATGACAGGTCCCACAGCCAAGTCAGGATGGGCCTGGAGATGGCCGGAAGTACCGCGAAGCCACTGTTTCGTAACGAGGGCAATGCGCGGTTGCATGGTGCAAATGCAACGGTTGTGAAGGCCGGGATCCGAACTCGAATTGCATCTGATAACAGATCTGCGTTAGTTTGCAGGCGTGCGGGTCTTTCTCCTTCTTCTTCCACCTCCTCCTCCTCCTCCTCCTCCTCCTCCTTTTCGCCTTCGCAATCGTCGCCCTCTTCTGGTTCGGTGTTGTCGTCATCGTCGTCGTCTTCTTCATGCCGAGCAGGTGCCCATGGCGGCCTGGCACTTGGAATGGCCGGGAGTCGCTGGGAGGAGAGCAGGCCACAACGAGTAGGAGTAAGAACCCAAGCCAAAGGAAAGAGGAAGCAGAGAACGAAGACGGAAACGCCATCGCGGGTATCGGCTCCTCCTGCCCCGCCATCGCCAACGACTAGCCTGGCAGGCAGCGAGGATCCGGTACGCAATGAGGACATCCAGACCAGCGGGGAAGAAGAAGAAGGAGGAGGAGAAGGAGGAGGAGAGAGAAGGGGAGAAGAAGTGGACCAGTCATCATCGGGTGTGTCAGTGGCGTCACGAGTTTCGGTACGCGATGGATATGGCGCCAGGGATGGCGGGACGGTCGGCGGGGAGGGGGAGGGGGAGGGGGAGGAAGAACCTAGCGTAGTAGGCGGTAGGGCGCAGGCTTCTGGTGCAGGCGACGAGATCGAACCTCGGGCGGTCGCGAACGAAGGCGCAGAAGAGTTGAGCGTAGTCGCTGGGGAAGAGGAGAAAGGACAGCCGGCGACGATGGAGAATCCGGAGGAGGATATGGCGAAAGCGCTGGCGGACTTGAGCAGGGAGAAGCGTAGCTCACGCTTGAGTCAAGGCGCTGATGGATGGTCTTCTACTGCGGAGTTCTGGCAAGGAGTCGTTGAAGAGACTATGCTCATTGAATGGCCGGCATTTGGAAAAGTGCTTCAGACGACGGGTGTAGTGGTCGCGATGATATTAGGCGGGTCTGTCTTTTTAATCACGATCAATGGCACCTTCGCGCAGTTAGCAGAAAAGGCTTTCAATGATCCGGAGGTAGGGGCGGCGGTGAGAGCATTGTTTAACAGATGAGGCGGTTAGGGAACAAGTAACTGGTTAGCTGGCAGGTGTGCGTCAGGATGAAGATGTGCACTTGAGGAGGTTTATAACTCTTAATGTGATGCGACATGATGTGCGTAGATAAATACTTAGAATGTAAATCCAAATTGGTAAGAAACGATGAGGATAGGGTAGATGCAAAGATGGATAGCCAGGCGCACAGAGAGAGAGAGAGAGAGAGAGAGAGAGAGAGAGAGAGAGAGAGAGAGAGAGAGAGAGAGAGTGCGCTATTCGGTTAGCAGGTTTGGGACTCATTTCTTTTCTTTTTTTGCCCTTGTTGTTGTTCGTTACTTCATTTTCCGTTTGTTTTCGTGTTGTAAGAATTGCAAAAATCAATCATCCATACATACTAATATGTCTTTCAAAGATTGAGTGTGGGTCTGCTCTTCTCCGGTAGTTTTACGTCGCGTTGTCTAAATCTCATTGCGCCCTACTCATTCATCTCTCACTTCATTAATTAACGGGGATATGGAGCGCGGCGCGTATGATTGGAGGATTCGCGATTCGACCCTATTCAATTCGATAAGAAGCAACCAGAAGAACAGACAAACAGTTAGTTGCCTACCAAGTAGTTCACATACTCATGCGGGGTTCACAGTTTCACTGCTGACGACCGCACAACGCAGACGAAATGCGCACCTGCAGCCTGCTTTCCTCTCCCTCCCTTCCCCCCCCCCTTTCCCCCCTTCTCTCTCTCTCTCTCTCTCTCTCTCTCTCCTCTGTCTTCCCATCTGTTTTTATATCTCAGTGGTATTCCGTATCGATGTAAGCTTGCTCTTGTCTTTGCCGTCTTGCGCCCGGGTCTCCCCTCCCTCTCTCTCCTTCATAGCTCTGTGTACACGTGCGCGCGTGCGTGCATTCGTTCGTGTGTGTGTGTGTGTGTGTGTGTGTGTGTGTGTGTGTGTGTGTGTGTGTGTGTGTTGCGTATGCGCTAAATGCAACGCCCCAGAGAAAAATGCGACTCTGTATGTGTCTATGTGCTCGCGAGCGCGCGTGACGGATGCCCTTCTATGTACGAGATATTCTCTCCACGGGGCGCGCTCATGCCCTGGTCAGCGACGTGTCCATATAAAAATGCCATATATATTGCGACACAATATTGTCTTATACTGTCACATTTTATCCCACAGTGAAAAAAAAAGGTCGGTTGTGTCGGCCTGCTTTGTCCGACTCTCACCTAGCGGTCATCATCATCAACATTACCGCAAGTTGCGGCGGTTAACAAGCCACATATTTGTTTTTCAAGCGGGGAAAAGTGCTGGTGGTTTAAGGCCCGAGGACCCATGACTGCGTTGATTGCTTCATGTACTACTAGAGGATTGACTGCCACATTTGCCCACCCTTTAGTAGAATCCTTCACGCCCTCCCTGTTGACACCCAATCCCTGGTCTTAGAACAAAATATTAAAGAAAGTCCATGTCATCCTTCTCAGTCCATTGGTTGCGAACTGCCAAGTATTTGAGATGGAACCAAGATTGTTCTTACATCATCCACATTACGGCGCTGGACAGGCTTCGAACACTTACCCAGTGGATCTCAGTCAGAGGTGGTGAGTTTCACTCAGGCGCTGACAGACGCACTTATCTGCTCCTCGGTCTATTCTGTAAGCAGCAGGACTTTCTTTTTTTTTTTTTTTTTTTTTGAACAACCCGAGTGGATGCTAGGGGTGCTGGTAACGGTTCTGGCTGCTACGGGGAACCCCATGCACCAGACCACTTGCACCCCTGGATGTGGACTTAGCTTGAGACCACTAGCACCCCCTGGATATATGTGGGCTTAGCTTGAGACCACTAGCACCCCCTGGATGTATGTGGACTTAGCTGGAGACCACAATTAGGAGTAGTGGTAGGTATGTAGTGTGAGGTGAAATTGAGAGAATAACATAGCTTTTTTTTATTTAAAAAAGGGGTGCTGGTAAGAGCAGACACCACTAGCATTCCAGGGGGAGGCGGAGGACTTGAACTTGACTTGATCTAGAAATGTCAAACTGACCCTTGGGAGCTTTAGGAGTCAGTCCCTCAGACTCCGAAAGGTCCAGTATCCTCAGTCTAGTCAGCAAGTACAGTCCCAGTCCTATTCTAGTCAGCAAGTACAGTCCCAGTCCTAGTCTAGTCTGCAAGTACACCCAGTCCTAGTCTAGTCAGCAAAGTACAGTCCCAGTCGTAGTCTAGTCAGCAAGTACCAAGTGGGACTGCACATCCTATGGACCTGGGACATCGGGCAGGCCCAGACCCCACCTAACGAAACAGTATAAATAAAGAGGCAGCGACCAGCCATCGATTTTTCATTCGCCTGCGAGCTGTGTGGAAGCGCTGTCCAAGTGTGACTTGTGCGTTGAAGTTCGCCGGTGGGTGGTCAGCCAGTGCCCGAAGGTGGAAGAGGGCGAGCGGCCATAGCCGTTCCCGGTAGTAGGAGTGTAATCTTGAACCAATTTTTTTGTGCTTCAACGTAATTAATTGCCAGGAGCTGATTGAATGGCTTGTTGTCAGTATTCGGCAGCTTGATTGAACCATGCTTTAGAGCCTTTCAATATCTTGTTGCTGAATATAGCCTCATTACTACACCCTTTCATGTCATCAGATTTTGTAGTGGCAAGTAGCTCTTGTAATGTATAAGCTGCTCTGTGACGCACGTGCGGAGATGGTGAGATATTGAGGCTATGATCTGAAGGCCCAAACCTCCATCTCCATCTCTCCCCAAAAAAATTCTGTTCTGCCGAACGAAGGCCTTGACTTTGCATTCTTTGTTTCTTGAAGATCCGTCAGCTCTGCGCCTCTTTCTTATTTTTTGCAACCGGCTCAGTCAGTCTCGTATCCGATCTTGGGTTCATCTAGACAGTCAGTGGAGAGTGATGTTGCAGGCTTCCACGTGTTCTTCGACTGAGATAGGTATTTGATTAACGGGAAAAGAATCTATTAGATTACAAGAACCATGTTTCAATGAGCAGGTAGCAATTTATCAAGCATCAACTAATTCCATCAGAAGTACTACCTTCTTCCCCCGAATACAACGTACGGTCATCATAGCTGTATTTGAGGCATCGTTCAGTCTAGATACAGCTATAATGACCGTAGGTTGTATTCGGGTGAAGACGGTAGTATATGTACCAGCACAGATAACTTATATACAAAATCGGAAAAAAACGAAAAGTTGCTCCAATTGTGTACCGCTCAGCCACTAAAGCAAAAGCTTATCTGCATCAACAAGCTATTTTAGGATTGTGTGTAACTCAGCCACTCGGCAGGCAGGTATCTACGTCAACAGGCACTGACAGACGCACGTATCTGCTCCTCGGTTTATTCTGTATTTAGAAGGGACTTGAACTCTTGATCTACATTTCACAGCAGCTCCAATTGTGTGTGTACCGCCCAGCCACTGAGAAGAAACTCATCATCTGCATCAACAAACTACTGTATTACGTTTGTGTATCACTCAGCCACTCAGCAGGCAGTTATCCACGTTTTTCTTTTTTTTTTAATACCATTTCGCAATTTTTTCGAGTCATCCTTGCGCAGAGGGGGACCATGCTAATCTTCTCTGTATCGTTCCAATTTTAACGGATGTCCCAAAGAGCAATTTTCAAATTTCACGTTTTAGGTGTTTAACAAAATAGAATCACCGAAACAGTTAACCAAAAAAAACAAGAAAAGAATCACCGAAACAGTTCAATGCCCTTCCGGGCCCTTCCGGGAAAATAAATAATGTAATTTTCAGCTGGTAAACAGCGTTACAGTAAATAAGTGATACACAAATAAATTGAAATAATCATTTAAATTGATTTAATAATGTCCAAAGAATGCACATAAATGAACAAGTCAGTTTCAAGCCGAGTGCCAGCGCCCGTGATGCCAAGACCAGGCTGACCTTCCGGCTTGGTCGAGGACACACATGTCCCGTTACTCTTTTCCTCCTTGAGAGGGAGTGCTCGATTCTCCCAATCCTTCCGTGCTCTTGACTTGTTTCACCCGATCCCTGGCGTCATCTTCCGCAAAATTCAAACTTGGAACGAGAACTCGGGAGTATTCAAGATCGCACGAAGGGATCTGGGTAAACTGTTTCTTCATCTTCCGCTTTCCCTCTTCTCCTCTTTCCACTTGTTGCCTTTCTTCTTCCACTCGCGTATCCTTCCTTTTCTCTGCTGCCTGAGCCCTCTCTCCGCTCGCCTTCTTTTTCCATACGTCTTCAATCCTTTGCTGTGGCTCTATTCCTCTTTCTCTGTGCTATACCATCTCTCTCTCTCTCTCTCTCTCTCTCTCTCTCTCTCTCTCTCTCTCTCTCTCTCTCTCTCTCTCTCTCTCTCTCGCCGGTCTTTCTTCTTGTGCCTGCGGATCTTCAATCAGGCTCGCCCCTGCCCCCGCGCCCCCCCCCCGGTTCTCTCTCTCTCTTGTGTGCTTGGCATCTGTCTTTCTCCATCCTACATCTTTCACCGTGCCTCTGTGCGGAGTCCACTCTTCCTCCTTTTCCTTCCCCTGCGTCTCTGTTACATGCACAGATATGTGATGTTCGTAATAACCGAGGAACTGCAGTGTGCTAAAAAGGACTGGAATGGACAATGCGGTGAGAGTAGAATCTCGACAGACAATGTGCATTCTCATACATACAAAAGTACTGAATAGCGCAGGGAAGACTTAGATACAAAGACTGACTTGACAAGGACTTACCTTACACACGTAGTAGCAAGTAGCGAAACAGACTGCTAGAATGTTGATAACTAGTCCAACCGATGGTTGAACTCAGACCAAACATGCA